ATATATATATATATATATATATATATATGAATGAGTATAACAAAAACTTCAGTATTTGTCTTTGAATTATCTCTTGCCTGACCCTACTACATTCCAATTTTGGTTAGCATTCCAGGGTAAGGGGCAGGTATTAATGGAAGTGATTCATACAACTATCCAGATGAGTTTTTGTGTTTTGTTTTTGAGATGAGTTATGAAATATGGACAAGGTTTTAGATTTTTAAGAAAATACTTTAAAATATTTTTATTAGTAAATAGCTAAACGAACACTGAGGTTTTCCTTTGCAACAGCGGCAATTATGAATCAAGTATTCATCTTCAGTGATTTTGCTGGTGAGGGAGGAGGGCACAGGAGGGGGAGGCAGCAGGGCAGAAGGCCACTGATGCATTTCAGTAATTACATCTAACACAAAGTTACCTCAGTTTAAGAACTGTTAAAACAAGAAAACAAAATATTCTTAGTTGATTAAGTTACTTGTTTATTTCAATGAAATGTATGGGACTTTCTTAAGAAAAAAAAATCCGTAAGGAACCCTGTACATAAGAAAAAAATGTATATAAGGCCTCATCTAACAACAAACACAAGAAAATTGAAACAGCCTCCTGAAGAAAACGGTCATGTGTCGCTTTGGAAAAAATGTCAAATGGCACAGCATTATAGTAAATAGAAGTTACTGCTTTAATTTGTTTATTACTGTTTTAAGGCAAAAAAGTAATATGATGCCTGTCCTCACACCCATCCTTTGGGCTCCCCAGACTCCCCCTAACATCTGACATTACCATCAAGAAGGTCAACGGTCCACAATTCCTCTTATAGTCTCTAGCTTCATCAATAGCTTTAGGAAATTTTAGCCTCCCTACTTAGCAAGGACAAAGGAAGTACAGTAAGAAAGGCCAGTTCATTCCATTAATACACAGGCCAAATGCTATTACAACAGATTCCTATCTCACCCCCAATTCCCCCTCTCTCCTCAAATAAACATGTCATCAAAACTATACAGCCAGCATTCAGATGATGTCTAAGATATGAAACTACCTTCACTGAGGCTGAATTTGACTAGGAAGCGATAGTTCGTGCCAATAATCACGCTTGCAAGCTGTTACGGAATGCTATGGCCAGAGCTAAACACTGAAGCTTTCTTTTAATCAACAGTAAATCAAGTATTCATCTTCAATGTAATTTTTCTGTTGTTAAGTAGGGACCTCCACAACACTTACCAACCCCTGCAAGACATGCTATTCTTCAGTTTAAAACATTCTCCTTAGACATCAGGGAAAATAGGTCTATATTGTCTTATGATTCATAATCCTTTCAGTAGTTATGTGACCTTACTTATGTCCTAACAAAATTCTTCTGCCTAATCATAACCCACTGCCATCGAGTCCATTCCTATGTGGAACTGCCCCATAGGGCTTCCAAGGCTGTAAGTTTCCATGGAAGCAGACTGCCACATCTTTCTCCCAAGGAGTGACTGGTGGGATTGAACCGCCGACCTGGTTAGCAGCACAGCAGTTTAACCACTGCACCACCAGGGCTTCTGCATAAACATAACTGGGATCTAAATCCCAGGGTTCACCCTCTTCTAGGCAGTTCCCAGTAATAAACGCAGTGAGGTGGGCAGACACTTGTCCTGATGCAATACACAAGTAGAGAATGAACCTTTTAACAGATGACTACTTAATAGACCTATTAAACCTTTTCTAAGCTTATCCTCACACTTGAGAGGCACCTGGGAATCTGCAGTGAATGAATACACAGGAGTTTCGTTCTGGGCACTGTTTACAGCAACTCAGTTAAGCATTGGTTAGTGTTTAACCATTTAACCCTGAGATTAACTGAAAGTCTTTTCACAAAATCTACAGACCCATTAATGTAAAAATAAATAAAACAAAACAAAAAACAACACCTAATCTCTGGAGAAAAATCAAGGACACAAAATGACCTCTGAAACAAGTTACTTTACATATCTTAAGAATTGGTGGTGGGCGTGGCACAATTTGATTTTAAACTGGGGATTTCTGTTGTTTCAAGAAACCTGGTGGTTCTTTAGAATACTTCTTTCCTAGTCCCACATTTGTGCAATATTAAATGATTCCTCCTGATCAATCCATTTTATTTGTTCAAATGACAAAGCAAGCTATTAAAACTATTTGTGACTTTTGTATCTATTCTCATAGGCGTCATTTAACTTGGCACTATGCTTTAATAAAAGGAACAAATGCCATCTCTATCTTAATTGACGAATAGTTACAGGCTGAGAGCAGACCCCATACAATTCTCACCCTAAGCATGTGTTTGGGGAAAGCAGAAGAAAATTAAACTTTGAAATAGAGCCAAAATTTAGGAAGAACTTAAAATGCTGATTAAAACCATCATTTATCTTCTAAAATGAGATAGTGGTGACGGTTCCACAACTCTAAGAATATACTAACCACCACTGAACTGGTGTAAGTAAGAGTGAATTTTATGGTAGGTGAATTAGATCCCAATAAGTTCACTAAAAATAAAGACTGTGTAAGGAATTCTGTCTTTTTATCTTTGTAACCTCGGCATGTAGGATAATGCCAGGCACATAGCAGGCACTGAATAAATGTGTTGATTAAATTTCTCTTAAAACTGTCCCTTGTACACAGCACCTTACATTTTATAAAGCACTTTCACTGATACTATTTGTTTAGCTACTGTCAGCCAAGTACAGCTGGCCCTCCGTATCCATGAGTTTCTGCAACCACGGACTCAACCAAACTGGGATGGAAAATATTCAAGGAAAAAACAAAAAGTGATGTGTAGGCATATCCTACTGTAGCCTCCCACCATTTCACAGATTTTCAGTCTTTCTCTAGCACTCGTCTGAACATTGTTTGCCTCGCATCTGAGGTGTACTGTGTAGTTAGGCCTACAATGGTTTGGTCTGTACTGAACATGTATAGACTTTCTTCTTATCATTATTCCCTAAACAATACAGTATAACAACTATTTACGTAGCATTAGGTATTATAAGTAATCTAGAGATGATTTAAAATACATGGGAGGATATGTGTAGGTTATATGCAAGTGCTATGCCATTTTATATAAAGGACTTAAACATCCTTGGATTTTGGTATCCACAGGGGTCCTGGAACCAATCCCCCACGAATACAGAGGATGACTGTACCCACAAATTTTTAAAATACTATAACAGTTAAAGACAAATCAACCACACTAACATTACAGTTGTCTGATTTAAATGAATCTCTCAAAGATTAAAGTTAACAGATAAATCAGCAAAAGCAATAAGAGAAATAACTGTAATTGCATAAACAAAATCTCTCCTACGCAGACAAGAAAATGCAAATTTTTAAAATACAATGATTAATTCTAAACATCTGTTTTGGTTGATTTGTCAGGATTTCTTGCACTTTAAGGCTGTGAGTTTCGTATAATCTAATCATCAACTTAATGAAAGCATGGGGAAAATATAACCTTAACAGTTGATGAGACTGGGAAAGGGTGGAGAAACCACTGTCCATCAAGGATACAAAACGGCCAATTCTAATCTAACCTAAAGAGATTATAAAGCCAAAGAACAGGGACCATATTCTACACGCAGAATATATTACTGA